CACAGCTCCGCAGTAATTGTTTTTTCTTTTAATGCATTTAATAGCTCCCCTGCTCCATACACATCCACTGTTTTTAAAGGCTCTGGATTTGCTCTAGCCCCTTCCCATATCTGATTGGGACACTCCCTAAAACAATGTTCGGGTAACCCACAATTCCAGCATCCCTCATCTGTTTTTACTGGTCTGGGCTGAAAGCCCCCTCAGCCCCTAGGACCGCTCCTGAGTCCTTTGGGGGGGGTCCGGTGGCTTGGAAAGAAAATATTTATCTTGAGTCACATATAGAATCGACCCAGAATATTTATGCCCCCCCCTCTAGACACACCTCCTCCCTTTGTAGCGTATTTTTGGGCATTACACATATTATCCATTACTGTGGTTACATTAGACGTTGTGAGTTTGCTAACATTGAGCTGCTAATATCCTAATCCTAGCTGCTAATGATATTAGCAACCTTCACCAGAGCTGTTTCAGTGCTATGATGAGCTCTAAAGCCAGACTGAAACTCTGGCCATCTACAGACAGGCCTAAAATCCTTTAGGCTGGTCCCCCACCCCACCCCCACAGCTCCTGCTGGATGCACAAACATAACTTGAAGGACCCATAACATTAAAGACGGACAAACATAACAGTAAATCTATTCATTTGAATTTTCAGAATAAAGTCCTGTCTACTTTGCATCTGTATTAACCACCTTTGCGCTGTTTCGAGCTCCTATATTTATTCTTTTTTTCCTGTTTTGTTTAATTTTTTCTTTTAACTCTTCTATCTTTTGGGTATTGAGGCCTACCCAAAACCCATATTTCTTTATCCAATGATCTAAGTAATTTCAATGCTTTAGGGTCATTTGCTTGTACGAACGTCCAGTTTTTATTCTTTAGTTTATCTCTTGGTTTTACTTTACTAGACCCACTTCCCATTTTGCGTGTTTTGGACCAGTGTGGTTGTAACACCTAGGGTATTCTAAAACACTGGTTTATTTCAACAGAGCAATACTTAAGATACCGTTGTGGTAATTTTCACTTCAACTTTGAGGGGGAAAATTCTTGCCTACATGCATCCACAAGGGTTGTTTTGTTTGCTTTTCCTGTCTTGTTGCTGTTTATATGAAATACTAGTACCTAGTGGTACTAATACTTCCACTCACATACACTCACATCCCTGTTAACTCCCTCTTCTTCTTTTTTTTCTTTTTGTCTTTTTTTCTTATATACCTCCTATTTAACAACAGACAATTCCGGGGGTCTGTTCCCCCATTAGGACTAGTTTCCTTCAGGTCTTTTCACTCAGTCAGGTTTTTCACTTAAACCTACTCACAGAATTTACAGGACTCCACCATCCTCCTGTGTGCCTTTCTCCTTTGGACTACCGTCACTCTTCAGATCCCAGGGAACAGGGATGAATCAAGTCCCGTCAAAGGGTCTGGGTCAAGGACTCAACAGTCCTGCTGTGGCCACAGTCTTTCTGTCTTTCACCCACGTCCACTGGATTCGTCAGATGTATTGACATCCGGCTCGAAGGACCAATTTAATATCAGGTTCAAACACCGAAAATGTCAGGATTTGTTTGTGGGTTGAGGACCCAAAAGCAGAGGCAGGCAGGCAGAGGTGAATTTATGGTTGATTTAATGAAGAGTAACTGAAAAAACAAAATCCAAACAAACAGGCAACCAAGAATCCAAAATCCAAAAATGAAAACAAAGTCCAAAAAACAAACAAGAAACCAGGAGTCCAAAATTCTAAATTCAAAACATGAAAAATTAACTAGAAAACAAACCAGAAAACCATGGAGACATCAGGGAATCAAAACTCAAGGAGAAAGGCTCAGAAAGATTAAGTTGGAGCATGTAAGACAAAGTAAGACGAGGACCCAGCAAAGAGGAAGTGAATAGAGAGAACTTTTAAAGGAGACAGAGACAAAGAGGGGACTAATGAGCAGATAGGAAACAGGTGAGTACAGAAGCAGAAATAAAACATGAGCTAGGGAAAAAGGAGAACACGAGAGGGCAGCAGAGGGCAACAAATGAGAAACCTGGAAGACTGACAAAAATTAGAAAATACAAAAAAAATAAATAAACCACTAAGACTGAAAAAACAAGGAGAAAAGTAAAACCAAACACTAAAAAGAAAATAAAACAGAACCAAGACTCGGACATTAACAGAGAAAAAAAACAAAACAAAGAACGCATTAAACTAACAATTAAAGCATAAAAACTAAGAAACAAGGAGAAAAGCAAAACTCGATGCTCAAAAGAAAAACATAAAAGAAAACAGAAACCTAACATAAAAACACTGTAAGACAAGGAAAGAAAGGCACAGAGTCAGAATTCTTTTTAACTTGCGAGGAGCGTAGGAACAGACCGTACAGTTACAATCTCCAACCCACTCTGCCGGTCTCAGCTTTCTCAGCCTCGCAATTTATTAAAGTCAGGGGTTTCCCCTAGTTACATATCTGAATTGCACTGAGGGAAAGGGGGATATAATTCTCAGAGATAACGCTAACAAGACTTCATTTTCATGTCCTTTAGACCTCAGAGTTCAGTCAAGGTTTACGTTGTTGCAGTTGTTGAGCAGGTTTAATGCTGCTCGTAAATCAACCCCAACCTCCCTTAAAAGCAAGCTTACATATAAAAGGTTATTATAATTGCATACACACAGCATACAGCTTTATGCATTATAACATTATACAGATACATTTATGTACAATTACTCTACCACATGTCATCTCAAGGCACTTTACAGTTCACCAGATCATAAACTCAAATTGATTCAAAGTTTTCAATCTAAGAAAAACCAGTTGATTGCATCGACTCATTGACTCGGATGCAGTCCCTCACACTAAGCGTGATTGTAGCGTCAGTGGAAAAGAAACCAGGCTCACTTTGAGCGGCCATCTGCAGAGGCCAACTGGGGTTCAAGGAGACAGAAGCAGAGATACAAGAGGCAACTGTAAAAGGCGGCCCCGTCCAGGAAATACAAAGCCAGGCAGATGAGCTCTGAGCCAGCTCCGCAGCTGATATTTCTCTCCAGAAGGAAGTCACAGCCAAACAGGAACAGATGAGGCGAAGCTACTATGAGAAAAGTGAGAGAGCGCATAACATTAGAGATTGAACTAACAGATTCTGCAGAGTGGAAGGATAGAAATAGAATGAAGCAAAATGATGAAATATATAAATAGGGGTCCCTAATCTCAGCCTATAGCAGCATAATAAAGAGATAGCTCAGGATAGCTCAAAAAAGGTCTCTATGTGAAGACTACACATCTTCTGTAACACACTAATATCAGTGCAACTACCAATATTTCTAAAAAAGCAGATTATATCTCCTTTCTTTCTCCCAGCTGCAGTCTGCTAGAAAACATCTGAAAACCAAGCATCAGAACTACCTCTGAGAATAAAGGGACTGACATACTCATCATCATTGAGTCTCTGGTAGGCTTCTGAGTTTAAAACATGTTTAACAGGTAACAAGTGTCCAAAAAAAATCTTTCACATTATGACAAAAACCAATATCTATACTTTCAAGTTGTTTATAGCAAGCTTTAAACCCACCATGTTTTTCAAGTGTTAGATTGGCTAATTTTGATAGAAGGTGTTAAATGCATTTTTAGTTCGCTGCTCTTAGCCGACAGGAGTGGTGCCTGCAGGGGCTTTGTGCAAAGATTTATGCCAGTGAGAAAGGAATGGCTTGCCATTTTAATGGAACCCTACACGTCAAACCGTTTCTCTGTGGCAAGGAAAATCCAGTCTTTGCACGAAACATCTCCCCACATCTTAGGAAAAAGTTTCACCGTAGGAGCTCTCCCAAAGTTCAGGTGAATAATTATTGTAAAAAACGTAAATTTTCCTGAGGGGAGATTATATTTTTAGGACTTACTGTTAGCCTCAGGGTTCTTTTTGAATTCAGACCAAGGCTATCACAACCTTTCGAATCAGAACCTACGGTCTTAAACGTGGCTCAGTTACCCGTGGTGGTACCCAGACAGGAAAAATGCTGGTATCTATTCAATTAGTGGAGATAAACTGGCAACCCTCTCATGACTCCCAAATTAAGTCAAAGCTTGGATTTAACAATTCTAGGAAATCCAACTTAACCCTGTTTCAGTTCTAATAAAGCTTTCTTTAATTTATTTCATAAGTTAGAGCTTGTATGAGGTTATGACTACACAGATGAAATGAGAAAATTCTACAGCAGATAAATTTAGATTTTCATGCTTTGTGTGCTGTAGCAAGAGAGTAAAAAAAACAAATTAACAATGTAAGTACAACACAGAAGTATGTGAGCTACTGCTTTGGGAGAAATACTACTCCTAATAAAAAAATAAAAGTTCATAGTCCCTAAACACTGAATGCATCATACCTACTGATAAAAATATTTAAACAGTTTTATTATATCTAGATATATTAACAGATCTATTTTCCATTTTAGGAGGACGGGAGATAAAATAACTGTGTTAAAGTAACTAAATATGATTGAATACATGCCAAAAAGAGTTGCATTAGTTTTTCAGCGAACTTATTTATCTCTAGTTACCATTTTCTAACATTGTGGCAATATTTCCACCATGTTAGGCTGCCTTATGTAATTTTTTGGACAGATTTAATCAGATTACTGTCAAAAGTGAAAAAGTTTTTTTTCTGCGTTTCTAGGTTTTACATGCATTGTTTTTCAGGAACCCTTTTGGGGATCTTAGAATCACAATATTGAAATTAAAATCTCGTTTAAACTCTGTGTGTCTTAATATCTTCTTCTCATGTTGAGGGAATTTGTAGTTTAGAGGACTAAACCACAACCACCTAGGTTGAACACAGTGAAAGTCCTAATTACGCTGTAACATCTTTTAGAAAGTGACATGTTTTAAATGGGAGTTCAGTCAGTAATTGTGCAAGTATGAACATGAAGAATTTGAGAAGTTTTCCCCCAGAGTTCAGCCCATCTGTAGAGGAAACAACTTGCACAGAGTATCCAGTTTACCTGGTTTACCCGGTTTAACTTTGGTATAAATATGCTGAAGAAAACAACAGACGTTAAGCATTTGGGGAAGATATCAGCAGACACTTTATCTGTAGTCAAAGCAGAAATCAGAATCAGAATGGAAGTGTTAGGAGGATTCTCAGTTGCAGAAAGTCCTGCAACGAATGAAATCCAGGCAATGTGTTCCATGGTAAGCTTTGATACACATTTATCATAAAAAGATTAATATGAAATTATAATTACATTTATTTATTTGTGTAAATAGTATTAAAATTAAGTTTCTTGTAGTGTGTGCATGTATAAACTGGTTGTTACGAAACAAATTGAGTGTATTATTTCATTTTATTACTTCACAGCTGAAGAGTGATATTGAGTATGCTACTTCAAAAAAGTACAAGGAGTTCACAGCAATTAAATATACTGACCAAACTGTGAATGGAAAAAATTACAACATTAGGGTAAGAAACATCTTTTACTGCTCCCCACCATCTAAAGTGAAGGTGATTTAATTTACTAGCATTTCTATCCTACAGGTCCATGTTGGGGATGAACAATGTACCGATCTGCGGGTCTATAAATCCTTCTCTTCAGAATCTTCTCTTGGATTAAGGGAGTTTAGGATTGGATGGAAAATTCTCTCAGAAAACAGGAGAATGAACGATCCACTATGACCCGACAACTGAAATCAATACAAAAGTCAACCAGTCTCTACTTTCTCCAATAGGCTGTCTCCAGGAAAAGTCAGTAGAATTGTATTGGTCTTTGTTCAGAGGTTATTAAAGTATCATTAATTACCTTGACTGTCATGGAGATTGTTTTATGTTCTCAGCATTGGATATACTGAATGTTGAAAAGCAATGTAAAAGATGTAAAAAAATAAATAAAAAAATCATATACGCTGCAGACATTACACTGTTTTCTCTTATTTCTAAAATATTGTCTTAAAACTGGAAACATGCACACTTCACTGACAATGAACTAACTTCTGCAAGACCTTCATGAGTTTATTATATTAAATTCATTTAATAGATACATTTGACAGATCAAAGCTTATTTAATAACGTTTATTACATTGCAAATACTTCAAGTGATTTCACACTTAAGATCCGTCTCCCATAATGTCAAGTTTGCTTGTTTCATTTATCAGTCATTTCTATTTCACCTTTGCAAAATGTTTGAAATGAAGACATTTCTGTTTGAAAAATGTACTTTTTGAATGTAATGACTTTAAAATTGTCATGAAACGAGGACAGATGGACCCAGTGTTCAAGGAGAGACAGTCAGTGGGTAAGTTCAAAACCTTTATTAAATAACAAACAAAGCTAAAGTGGATCTGTGGCTCGCGAATACTGCAGGAGGGGGGCGGGCACCGCCCAATCTCTAACACTCTGTGGGAGAAACACAGGTAAGTGACCACGATCATCTGACTGAAGATGGTGATCTCAGTGAGTCACTTACCTGGTTTAGCAGTGAAGCCCATACCCCTTGAGGGGGGTGCAATCCAGCCGATGGGCTGAAAGCTGTGGCTTGCGTCACCCAGAGTGTCCCAGGTGCTGCAGCTCTGGAAGAGTTTCAGGAACACAGGGATACAGGGCAGACAGGAACAGACAGATCAGACAGGATCCAGATCAGACAGGAACAGACAGGCAGACATGGGCAATGTGGAGTCAACAAGTCATCTCCATGTCATGTATTTAATCTACCCAGCCAATTAACCAGGTGAGTCCAATCTGCACAGGTTAATTCACGGTTGGACTCACCTGCTTCAGTGGCTGGGTAGAACCAATACATGACATGGAGATGACTTGTTGACTCCACATTGCCCATGTCTGCAGACAGGTGACAGGATCCAGGCTTCCAGGCAATAACAAGCTCCCAGACAGGTTCGGAGTCTGACAGAGTTCAGATGCGTGGCCAGACAGTCACGCAACGGAGCAGACAGGATCAGGTGCAGATGAGCAGGCTCAGTGGCAGACTTTAGCCGCGACAGGATGTGGAACCAGAACTTGATGCAGGACCTTTAAACTGGTCTCCTCCCTGGAGCCAGGCTTACTGGGATAAAAACTGAACCTCCCCACATATAAAGCCAAAAACCCTGAGGACTCAGCGGGGGAGGAACAGTGAACGATCAGGAGACGAGACAAACACAAAAACCCTCTTTCCACTGGCCGACAGGATCCAGGACATGAACCATTGCAGAACTGAACGGACAGACTAACAGAAAACAGATAAAATGATCTGGCCCTGAATGCTCAGGCTGAACAGAATATAAATCAAAGGAAACAGGTGAGAGGAATAAATGATAATTGAGGAAGGGAGGGAAAATGACAGGTGAAAGAAATAACCAATTAAGGGAGAGCAAACAGGCCAGATGATGACAAAAATGCCCTGCTGGCTGACAGCTCAAACAGAATATTGATGCTTGATAAGAAATAACAAGGTCAGTATCCTTGACCGGTAATCCTGGTCTGGTCTCCAAGAAGGGTAATTATGGCATTGATAATGTATGATAATGTTTCTCTATGGGTTTTTTTTTTTTTTTTAGTTTTTTAGATTTTGTATTGGAGGATCGATCAGCTCAATGCCTCTTATTGATTAATTAATCTTACTGACTCTGATTCCTTAAAACAATAGTATCTAGAGGAGGCTATTTTTTATTTATTTTTTAAATTATAAGTCATGTGAGAGTTCTAGGGTATCTAATTGTTTCTGATTGACCTGTCCTGCCTTTTGACCTCTGAGCCTGCCTGTTCCTGTTCTGATCTGTTTGCCTGTCGTTTGCCAGCCGGTTGACTGCCAACGCAACGCACCATTTGCTGCACAGTGAGTCCCAGAGGCTGATTTGTCGGTGTTCGGAGGACAGGCAGGGGAATAGAGCCGAGCAAACGAAGGCAGGCAGGATAATTCAGGATAATCAATGTGCAAAGATTTTTGGGCCCTAGGGCAGAAATACGTCACCAATCCGGCAAAACAATGAACACAGCTTTACTCATCATTAAAGATTCAATATTTATCTTGCACATCTAGATAATATATCAATATATTTCGAAATATTTTAATTTTATAATCTGATTATTATTTTTTCTTACGTCTTATTCAAGTTCATTGAGTGGGTAGGGTGGTGAGATAGCGCCCTCTATTTGCCGGTTGCCACTGTTCTAGGTTTAGTGTACAAACAGACAGAGATCAATTAGAATACAGGAATCCACAAAAAAAAAGAATAGAAACAGATTGTTACCCGCAAAGTGGGAATCTTTTTCAAAAACATGCACCAGAACACAGAATAATACACAATATTTTATTAAACTATTTCATTAAATCATCTTTGTGTTAAAACATGGCTTCTGGCCTACTACTTAGTCCCTGGAAAGAAAAGAGATCATAGAAAATAAGGGCAATTTAAATTATTCCACAAAAATAAATGATCAAACAAAACATGCAATGCAAAAGGAAACAAATTAGTAAATCAAAACAAAGGCAAACACATTAGTAATTTCAATAATAAGCAACCAAAAACGGTTAAAAAAAAAAAAGCAAGCACTTCAAACAGTGGGAAAAAATTGTCATTGTCTAATTTCATATGCCCTTCAATGGGGCCAGAGGAGTCATGCCCCGCTCACTCTGCCTGTCCAAGCAGTAACAGGTTTCGTTGAGAGCATCCCAAACAAACACCGTCGAAACAAGACAGCAGAGCATCCAAAGTGCTGCAGCTTCAGGACAACCCCAGAAGTGGAAACACAGCCTAACTAGGGAGAAAGCGGACCAGCAGGTCAGGACTAGATGGAAGCTGCACGCCGAAACAACCTCGAGCTGCAGCCGCCAACACCAGGGGAGCAATGGATTTCAGATGAGCGGCTCAAGCACACAAGCCACTCAGGCAGCCAACATGTAGGGGAGACAGAGACACATGCACCTCGCAGAGGCCTGCTCAGCTATAAAGCCATCTTGGTCCACTCTATAAAGTGTGATAAGCAGACAGCCAGGCTAGGAGATAGGAGCAATGACAGTTTATTTTGGTTCACAGGCAGACAGGGAAGAAAGGCATCTCTGGAAGCAGGGGCAGTTTGAGGAGAAAGGCAAGCTCTCTGCAGCAGCTGGAGATGAGGGAGGTGGGTGGTGTGGCTGGTTTGTAGCAGGATCCTAGGTAGACAGAGAACAGGTTAGATCAATAGAAACAATCCCAAACAGCTGGAGCCATTATTTCCACTAGGGAAAGAAGTTGGTAGATCTGCCAACTAATGGTAACCATCAAGCAGCAAGCACACAGGAGGCCAAGCTTTGAATACTGCTCCAGATGAAGATCAGTCTCTGTTGTGTGCAGCCAGCTCCTCCCAAGCCACACCTATCAGAGAGAGAGAGAACACAACCTAAAGCTGGGCATACACTGTGCAATTTTTTGCCCTTTTCGGGCCTTTTCGGGCCTGCCAGAATTTCTAAATTGGGCCGACTTTCAGCCTGATCTGAGTTGTGCGTTGTGTAGTATACAGGGGGTAACGAGGTGCAATCAGCCTATCATGACCACCTCCAGATAAGGAATCGCGAGAAAATCAGACATGTTTGATTTTCAGTTGGCTGTCATGGGCAAATCGCTCAGTGGGCTTACGCAAACAAGAATTCTTCTTCTTCCTCTTCCTCTCAAAGGAAAACACAGAAGCATGGCGGGGGTGCGAGCGAAATTGTGTTATTTCTATAAAATTGACAGACTGTAGTAACCACGTTTGCCCAGCCATGTCTTTGTCCAAAGACGTTGTTGCCTTTCCTTCTTGCACAAATTGCCAAGGCAGCGTGTTTCTCTCTAATGAGCTTCATATTCCTCTTCTACTCGTTTGTCTTCTGGATAGACGAGTTTGAGTAGCGCCATCTCACTGTGGAGCTGAGTTCGACGTGGTTTTTAGACGTACAGTGTGAGCAGGTAGATCGCATCAGAGCGACGGGCCGCACAGTGTGAGAACATACGTACATTGTGAGCTGTGAACTCACTCTGTACGACAAAACCTCAGGGTTTCGTTGTACAGTGTCAGCTGTAGCTGCGTGCAACGATTGAAAAAAAATTGCACAGTGTACGACCGGCTTAAACTGCACCCAAACAGGCTCAGACACCACACAAAGCCTCGAACTCAAAGCTAATTCTGACATTTTGAATTGAAAAAGCTTGCTGGATGGCAAGTGAAACATCTTCAAACTTGGAAACCAAGTCCAATTGATTGTATTTTTACTTTTTTCGGAATGGCTAGGAACAGTATGGCTGAGAATCTTCACCAGTATATATCCCTTTTAACATGTACATTAAATTTCCCATCTTTTTCTTATTCTGTTTGGTTTGGGTTATTAACTGACACCTGTAGCCACAGCAGATAATTTTTTGATTCTGTAAATACTGTCCACAAGATCTCATGGTCTGTTCATAGATGAGAAAAGCAGAATTGCAGCATCTGATCTAATTCAACCAAATTTTTTTTTAATAAAAATGAAGTTAAAATTCTGTGCATTCCAGTAAAGTGTATCCACTAAACTTCATACATGTGTTTTAATCAGTGTGCAAAATACCTGTCAATATTTGGGGGGGTCCCCATTTCCCGATTGTTGCGCAATACTGATCTAAATTTTCTCAATATGCAGTAGGCCTACAACATTGCAATGTCAAAGTCAGGATTGGCTGGCTCCACTTGACAAAAAAACAGAACATATTTGTGAATAAATGTTTTGAATTTTAAATACTGGACGTGTTGAGCTTAAAAACATTTTAGTGACCATTAGTGACAAAAAAATATTTTATTTTTAATTTTTTTGACACAGTTTAAGACCCCCTTTACATTTTGCTTTTGAGGCTTTCAGGGGGTCTCATGGGTTAATTGGGGGGTCGAGCCCCCCCCGGACCCCCCCGTATTTCGCACTCTGGTTTTAATCAATTCATGCACATGAAGGAATTCAAATCTACAAATGTTGACAGTGTACATTGTTGCTCCAAACATGGAAAATCTTTACATAGTAACAATGTTTAACCACTAGATGTAGCTGTGTCCTTTTTTTTTTAAAACTGGAACACACTTTGAACAGATCTATCTATCTATCTATCTATCTATCTATCTATCTATCTATCTATCTATCTATCTATCTATCTATCTATCTGTCTGTCTGTCTGTCTGTCTGTCTGTCTGTCTGTCTGTCTGTCTGTCTGTCTGCCCATCCAACCATAATTACTTGGTCATTTATTTTGAACATAACACACGGCAGGGAATTTTTCTACAATGTAAATACTGACCACATGTCAAGATCTGTTGGTAGTTAGATGAGAAAAGCAGAATTGCTAGTGTCTCCACACTAAACTTCATACATGTGTTTTAATCACTTCATTTACAAGAAGTAATTAAAATCTACAAATGTTGACAGTGTGCATTGTGGCCTAGAGCATTAGGAAATATGTTGCAACAACAAAAGGAAGCTGGAACAATATAAGATACCCTTAGTGCCGTAATTATTGTGCCATATTATTTATAGTATGGCAACCTAAAATAGAAAAAAAATATTAGCTCCACAATTTTTTCACAAGAAAAAGGTTCACAATTATTCCAGAAGCTTTTTAATATGTGTTTTACCTTCACTTGATCCCCCGCCCCCAAAATTTTTTACATGATATTACAATCTCCAAAGAAATATGCAATCTGGGGCCATACTGTGTATATTTAAACAAATGACTGGAGTTACTGAAAATTTCCCATTTCAAAGACAGCATCTTCAAATATACTAAAGGCTGAATACTGATAATTGATAATGGATGGGATAAACATACTAGGTATGCAAAAAGTACAGTACAGTGCCTTGGGACAGTATTCAGCCTCCTTGAACTTTCTGATCTTTTGCCACATTTCAGGATTCAAACTGTGCTAAGCTGCTGCTGGATGAAACTCAACCTTCTAAATGGACATGAAAAAAAAACGTTTGCAGGTCTGACACAATTAGGGACAGAACAAACAATATGACTTTTGATGATTTTGATCATTTCATGTGTTTACTGATGAGTAAAGACAAAGCTAAAAGGATGGACTGCTTTGCAATGCTACAGTAATATATTTAGAGCTGTTGTTGAAGCTTGGAAAAGCTTTATTTCACTAAGGGTTTAAACACTGATATAACATTAGTGTTCATGTGTTCCTCAGATGCTCATTGCATTTCAATTACCAAGTATGACCAAGAGTCATTTAGTGGAATCCTGATGTCTATTCGCTGCCAGCTATTTCAAAGAGGGTAAAGAATCATTTGACCAAAGGTTATTGGTTCCCGATTAAGCAAATAATTTAATAAAAAAATATTTGGTCAAATAATGTTTTATTCACCTTGTGGATTTGCATTGTGCATTGGTCTGAAAACATTCTAATTTCTCTAAATTTGTGAAAAGCTAATTTGATCATATCCCAAATTCTTCCAGATAAACTTTGCTTTTCAAACCTAAGATCCATCTTGAACTGTAATATGGTTTTCAATCATGTTTCCCCTTCCTCTTTGTACATAGTAGTTTAGTTTGGTTGACTTTCACTAGTTTTAGTTAATAATTTTTAACTGAAATATTTTGGACTTGGAGCTGAATGATTTTTTTGTTAATAAACTCTTAAATTTTAAACAGAAGTTGTGTATTTATTCCATGTATGTGTATAATTAACTGTTTGACCATGATTAATGCTCGAATCACTCTTTTATTTATTGTTCTAACACACAGCTAGTAGGGTGCGGGTTCATAAACAATATATAACCGCCTTAATAATATCTGATGAAATAAGATATTTACAGAAATATAAATTCCCAGCTGGCTGGGAATTGAATATGTTATTCACAACATAACTATGGCATCCAACCTGGATTTGCATTGAATATAAATCCACAACATTGGATGTTAAAGGTTGCAAATCCCTGTTCTATGGAGTTAGGCTTCACAGTTTGCTTATTTTTTGCAAATGAGAAAATATAAAAAGAATAAAAAATAAAATGTGTAAGTGAATATAGTACTGAATTTGTGAGTCAGTGAGTTTGCTTTCATTCTTGCTTTAAGTATTGTTTTGTCTTGCATTATCTTAAATCTAGTGAGCACTTCCTAGTTTTACAACAGGTTTATCCACTAAAAGGTGAGGGCTTCACTCACATTGCTCCACCCACTATGTAGTAGAATCACATTCCAGCCTTTACACTGAGAGAATAGCCACAGTAAAAAAAAAACATACATGTTCAATTAAGGATTTTGACGACGGACATTTGACTTTGCTGTAATGGCGGGGATGTTTGGAGCATGGACAGAGGTAATGCCTGCCTCTGAGGAAATGCAGAACATCTGTGACATGGTGAGTTTCACTCTGCCTTCACTCTTACGTTTTTAACATGCAAAAATAATCAGTTTCGCTTTCAAGCTCTACTAAATGTTAACCGCACACAGCTAAAGAGCCAAGTTGAAGCAAAGTGGACCAAACAGAGATATGAAATATTCAAGACCATTGAGTACAGAATACAACCAGTGGCAGGAAGAAACTTTCTCATCAAGGTAACACCTAAATCATATAGTTAATAAAAGTTCCTGGTTTTATGTGTATATGTATTTGTGTTTATGCACAAAATAAAGGTGTTCCTTTCCTTCCTGCAGGTTCATGTGGGAGGAAGCGAATACCTCCATATTTATGCCTTCCAAAGCCCTCTGCAGGGGGGGGAGATTAAAACCTTACTTAAGAGGGTAGAGACACACAAAGAGGGAGATCCTCTGGAACCCATTAGACCTTTAGACTAAAGGAAAAAACAACATTTTGTCAATTCTTACAGAAAAATGCACTGCTTTGTTATTGTGAAATAGTTAAATATAACAATGTCTATATACATTCTAGCTTATGGTGTTTTTAGCTTTAGGTATTTTAATCAGCGCAATCTCATATGTAAAGATTGAAGAACAAAGATTGTGATTATAATTGATGGTATGTTTTCTTCTTTTATCTGCTGCTGTTAAAACAGCAATAATAAAAGACTGTGGCACTTAGATGGTGTAAGTTTGACAAGTTATGTCTATAAATATGGGTGACTGTTTTATACAAGTGCTTTTTTGGAGTCATGAATTCCTGTGTGAACAAAAAATTCCAGATTCTGAATTGAAATAAAATAATATAACTGAACCCATCTACCAAAAGAGACACACCAGATATAAACCTGTGAAACAAAAGAGAAATTAGAAATAAAATAAAATTTAAAAATCCAAGAGACAGAATGTTTAACTTTTTTTTTTTTTTTTTCTCGATCATATCCAGATGTGGTCCCAAATACTAGTTCAGGGTCCTGGCCATATTTTTTTTCCTTTAATATGTAACTGATAAACTCAACTCCTGAAAGCTGATGTAATCTAATGTCTGATTTTAGGTCAGCTGAGCGCCCAATGAGCCAATGCATCACTTTAGGATGATATAAACATAATCTTGCTATTGATCTAATGAGTCTATTATCCTTAAATATCCAAGTATTTTCACTTTTAACCATTACATCATTTGTAGAGCAGCTTAGTGATTCCTGTATCAGCCTGATATGTTTGGATACCCAAAGAGGTATCAAATCGTCATTCCAACCATCAGGTTGAAGCTCTGATGTCATCAGGACCAAAGTTATGGAGCAGGCCGTCTCTCTCCATGTAAGACTTGCTCCTTCACAGTCTTCCCTCTTTTAATACTATCATTTAACACAGCATGAGGTGTTTAACTTTGTTTTATGACCAAGTTTTCTTCATTTTCCATTTTTATTATCCCCATAATTCAATGTTATTTTTACAGGTCCTTCTGAAAATATTATCATATTGTGATAAAGTTAATTATTTATTATAATGTTTTGGGTTTTCATGGGCTGTATGTCAAAATCATGCGTATTAAGACAATTAAACAGCTGAAATATTTCAGTTAGTGTGCAATGAATCTAAAATATATGAATGTTCCAAGTCTTATCATGACATTATGGAAATTAATGGACTTGATCACAACATGCTAATATTTTAAGGACCTGTAATTACATTAGATGGGACGTTATAAAACAAAAATCTGCATCACTCTCGATTAGATGCACTTTTAAGATAATCAGATCAAACCAGAAGCATCTTGATCAGTGGATGTTGTGGTGTGTCTCTTGAAACACTAATATATTCCTTTTTGTAAAGATGACTTTGTTAAAATAGGACAAAGAAGAAGCTGAAACAGCCAGCGATATAAAACACAGACACCAGAAGTCATTTGAAAACAGTTCCTTATCTTATTTTTTCTTTTTCTAAAAAAAAAAAAAAAAGCTTTTGTACATTAATTAATTGTGAAGAAAAAGGATGACTCCTACAGCAATCATTCTTCTATACAATAATGACGGTGAAGTGGAAAGGAGGTCCGGTCGGTCTGTTAGACGAGCGCCCTGCGGTCGGTTCAAGGCGTCAGCTCCCACGCGCTCAGCTCCGATCTGGGTTCAAACAGAGCGAAGAGGCATTCTTTCATCAGATGGATCTTCACTAAACCTTTGGAGGCTGGTAGTGGATTCTGCATCGTTCAGTGAAAATCTGAAAGGAGAAAGAGAAGCATAAGTGTTGCATCAAAGTTTTGTATTTTGCTCAGGCAGGTATAGAAATGATAGGTGTATATTTTACCTTCAGGCTTCTATCGTTGACAACTTCTTCAACATTCAGCTCTGACTGCATGAGCTTCAACTGGAGGCAGGGCAGCATGAGATTAAGAGGGGAAAAAATAAGTTTGCATAAAGAAAATGCACTTAGATTAGGGTTGGAAAAACACTATAAAGATATGCTCATTGCAGTAAATTGCAAAGGACTGGTGTGCAGTAAATGTTGGCTGACATATTACTACAGTTATCAACTTGCACTTTATTTCTAATGTAATGTTTAGAGTCTCACACTGTTTGAGGTTCATTGGCTTTTACACTTCGTTTAACGCACCCCATTTAACCAAGAGGGAAAAAAAAAAAAAAACTACTAATACAATAGTTGGATTGCAGTTTTCTTGCCAAATATGACCAATTATACAACCATCACAGACAGACTGAAGTCTAATTTTCTCTTGCTTACATTGGTTTGCTCCTTTCGAAGCTGTTTGATTAGTTTCAGATCCTCACTGTCTTTTTCTCGTTCTTCCCTCAGCCGTGCTACCACTTCTGATTTCTGGGCTATACAGGTCTTAATGGCTTTGTCTCTACTCAGATGGGCTTTCATCAGCTGGGAAAGGCAGAGAAAAGTTAAAGTTGTTCAGAAACCAGAGGAGGTCACAGTTTTCAAACTATCAAATCGTCTTCCTGATACTCACCGACTCGTACAGTTCTTTGCAGGTCTGTGTGGCGTCCACTTTTCCTGAGAAGGAGACTGTCGGCAATGTAGTGTTCAGGGCGTGGACAATGCGGTCGTCTATGGTGCGCATCACCTTTAAGCCCTCCTGTGAAACAGAGAGATTTTGAATTACAGTTTAAAGGATCCTTTTATTGCAGGTTAAAGATTCATCATTGATTTGTGTTTTTCTAGGGATATTATACAAAAAAACAAGACAAATAGGGCACAATTGTGAAGTGGAAAGTTTTTAAAATGTTTTTACTTATACAAATTTGAAAAATGTAGTATGCATCTATTTGTTGATAGTTAGGTTTATAGGGTCTGCCTGTTCTGAAACTACATTGATTGTATATACATTTATCTTCATGTTAGAAAAAAAGATTTTTAGCTTAAGGACTGGTCTTTGACTAGGCCATGTTTAAAGATAAATATGCTTCTCTTGCTGTAAATAAAGGGTTGTTGTGTTTCAAGGCTGAACCTCCATCCCATTTCACATTATTTGATACTGACTATGAGGTTTTCTTCTAGTATTGCACTTTTGTTAGCTTTATCCTTCAAGACTGGCTTCTCCAATTAGGAAAAGCATTCCCACAGCATAACACCGCCACCACTATGTTTACAGTGTAAATAGAGCATTTGAAGTGATGTGCAGAGTTAGGGTTCTGCTTCACACAGAGTTTTGGATGTAGGTAAAACATCCACACCATTTTTTTCTTGTGATTTGACAGGCTCAGCTTCTTCCACCAGCAACCTCTAAAGTGATAGTTTGATTTTTTTTTTTTTTTACTTTTTTCTAAAACAGCTTCCATTTTCTCAGTATTTTTGAATCTGAATCAACAAGTGCAACAATAAAAATTGTCTTAATGTGCTTATTGCAGTATAGTTTACTTGTGTGTATAGATGTTCCCAACAACCTCAATAAGTTGTTACATTCATGCTGATTTTGCAGTTTCTATCTTAGTCAGTTAAATAACATGCTGCTGTCATTTTGCACATCTCTGATGTTGCTGCTATTTTTTAAATACCCATTACTGCAAAAATGTCCCTTGCCGTATAATGGTTATTTATTGTCCAAGTTGTGAGTTTTTATACAGGTAAAACACTTTACAGTACAATATTTTATTGTTTATCTTTTAACTCTTCACTATTCTGTTATTCGTACGCATTTTTCTATGGTACATATTTGTGTGAAGGTTCTTTCTATAACTTTTTTGCTGCTGTAAATTCAAGAACTTCCCCATTGTGGGACAATAAAGGGATTTTGTATTATGTATATATATATATATATATATATATATATATATATATATATATATATATATATATATATATATATGAAAATAGTATTTCTAGTATTATATCTATTTATTTATAAATATTATTTTTGAGTTTCTATAATACATAGATTCTCAACATAATTCTTTTTCAGAAAGTTATGCAATAATGAGATTATGTCATAAATAGCTAAACAAGAAAACATGATGTTTAGTAATGGATGCAAACTCCATTGTTGAACTTGTTAATATTATCTAACTATGAAACAATATTTTATATCTTCTACTTGTCTGGAATAAAAATAGCCTGTATAGCTTAGAATCCTGAGTTTTATGGTGTTCCTGACTGTTCATAATGTTCTCCTTTGTCAGGCCTGTCATTTCTAGTGGACAATCATCTCTTGCTGGTTTTGCAGTTCGGCCATCATGATTTTCTGTAATAGAAACTTTTAACCAATCTGACTTTATAATCTCTGTAAAATGTCTTGAAATGTTTAAAGCTTAGAATGTTGTTTGTAACTCGACTTTAAACTTCTCCACAGCATCCTCAATGTTTCCAGCAGACCTTAAGTGGCCTTCACAGCTGTTTGCTGACATTAAACCAAACAGCTCTTTGCAAATAGACTTTTTTCATTATATTTGCAAGATAATCTAAAGACAAATAACATTTTCCCTTAATTTAGAAGTAAGCAAAATTGTTTTTAAAGAAATAAACTTAAATACAAAAGCTTGAATATAAGGTAATTGTGCTATTCCCTGTGTGTTAAAATGTCTGCCATTCAAAAATAGTTACTTGTTTTTCATTAATCCTATAAAAAAAAATCTAAGCTGCAGGTAAAACTGTGTTTCCAATCACACGTGTGTATCATATAATATATCCAGGTGGTTGATATAGTGATGGTTCTTACAGGAGTAGTGTAACTCTGCAAGTAGTGGGAGTTGAGTGCAAACTATGTGCTTTATAACTAAAGACTAAAGCCTCAGATAGTTTTGGGAACCGGGTCACCTGATCAGGACTCCCTTGTGATATAAGCACAAATGCTCCCAGTTTCCAGTTCTGTAATCCAGTCTGGATCCTTGAACGATCAGGAGGGTCAAATGACACAAAAAATAGAGATCCGACAATGTCCCCCACTGAGAACCAAGGGTGCGGATCGATCTTTAACTGTGCAACGTTTTAGTGGGGAAAGAATTATCCGTTTGGTTTGAATTACCTGAAACATGGAAAAGTCCTCACAGTTTAAAGTCTCATCGGGCGCCGCCATAATGGATTGTGGGGTCCTTCACGGCAACAGCACGAAGTAGCTGTTCAAAACAGCTCCTGAACGAAAAGACGCTCGATTTGCTTCAGAGGCAGCCAGAGTTCTCATCAGGCACGAATTACTCCGCACTACCTTCGCTGTGCTTTTACAAATCAGTCCGCCATATTGCTAGTGGCAAATTAATTGGGTTTCCCATTATAATTTTTTTCTTTTTTTTTGGTCATGTAAATTTTTTAAGCAAATTTTTTGTAATAATAATAATAACACTAATATATATATATATATATATATATATATATATATATATATATATATATATATATATATATATATATATATATATATATATATATATATATATATATATATATATATATATATATATATATATATATATACTAGAAGAAAATATATATAGACTATAAAGGACTATAAATGTGCAATTTACCATTAGAATACCCTGTGCAATAACCCGTTGCTCTATATTTGGCACCCAGTGCAATAGCTTTATATATATATATATATATATATAAAATTATCCATCTATATAAATACCCATGTAAACAGCTGTGCAATAACCCGGTAAATTATCCTACCATAAAAAAATAAAAAAATAAACAGCTGTCATATGTGGACGCACTGTATGTACTGTATATATCCCATGCACCCTTTCTTCCTTTGGCACATTCTTCTTCTCCTTTGACTATCTGAGCTGATGAAACAAGTTAATTTCTTCACTGTGAGATCAATAAAGTCAATCAATCAATCAGTATCTCTCTGTCTGTCTGTCTGTCTGTCTGTCTGTCTGTCTGTCTGTCTGTCTGTCTGTCTGTCTGTCTATCTATCTATCTATTTAAACTATGAGGAACAGCGATGCTTTCAGAAAATGTTTGTATTTGAATTTGCAAAGTAATCATAACAGTACTTGTGAAGCACATTTTAATGTATAAAGATTACAATTAATAACAGTGAAACAAAAACATTTTTTATTTATTTAAAGGCTTGTATGGCAAAACTGAGCCAAACATCACCCTATTTGAACTCACGATAAAACAGATGTAAAAAAGGAAGAAGAATAAAAGCCCAAGACCACACTAAACATGGTAATTTCTTGAATTTTCTTTGACAAAAAAACAAAACTCAGACTGAACATTTCAGGCTAGTGTTTATTATGACCTCTGAGTTATTTTGTGGGTTATTTTTGGAAGTATTTTCTGGTGTTTAAATGCAGTGAATGTGTAACCAGTCAGCATTAATATCTTACTTTTCCTGTTGGCAGATAGCCTTTGCTTAACTCATCCCTTTGCAATAACAATAAAACAATTCAATCTATTTTTCAGAGGGAGGTGACCTCTGTACTGGCAATCATATATGGGAATTGTTTTGTGGCTGATGTCTCCTGGTAACATTACTGGTGACTGCCAAATCTTTTTCTGTTCCTCCCTAACAAATTTAAAGATGCTCATATACAGGATTTAACAAAAAAACTTAAATCTCTAAGTCCTTTATTTTAAATATGTTCTATCAGCAAAGGTATTTTAGAGACACAGAATTAAGCGGGAACTCTGATTCTAACTTCTGCATCTTCTTCTTTCACACCGACTTCATTTATATAATCTTTTCCTCCACCCAATAAACTCCTCTCTGATCTTCATTTAGGCCTCCTGACTGACAGTTACAGCCTTATCATCGTACAACCCACAAGTCAACCTCTAGCTTCTGGAACTCCAAATGTATCTTCAACACACCTAACACAGAGATGCGGAAAATAGGGGTCAGAGGGAGACAAATGACTCATAGTGGTGACTCCTGAGAAGGAGAAGTTAGGAAAATACGTTCTGTTTGGGTTTAGCAAAGTGCCTCTGATTCTGGAAGAAACCGTTCTAATAGGCCTAATCATAGATATGGCCACTCCTCAGTCGCAATGGAATTTGCCTCTCACAACATGGCGGCGGCGTTGTCGCACAATTCTTTTTTTTTTTTTTTTTTTTTTTTTTTTTTATGTCGCACAATTCTGACCGTTCGCTGCGTCTTCTTCGTTTACGCTGTGCAGGGCCTGTTGGTGTTTTCTGCAGCTAGTTGACTTTCAGTAGCTGAAGGGGAAGTTTCAGCTGCTCTTTGCGGCACAGTTTCTGGACACAGCGACAGATATTAACCCAAACAGACATGAATTTAATCAGATCTCGCCTCACCGTGGGAAACCTTCTCGGTTCGTATGATTCAATAATTCATTAATTTGAGATAAAATCGCTCTTAGAAACAAACTAGCATGTTCCACTTTGTCGCTTCGCTCTTGTTGTGTTTCCTAAAACTGTTTGTTGTTGACACTATAACTGAATGGGTAATTTAATGTTTGGGTTATTTTATTCTAATTCTAACGCTATAAATGCATGTTTTCGTGGTACAGTATTGTTGAAATGAATGTTGACAGTAGATTTTATTGTGTAGAAGTGGAATAATCAAATAATGTTGTTTTCTTGGTCATGTTTTTCTATTGCGTGGGGTTTATTTATTGCAATTACCTATATTATTTTATGGTTAACATGTTAAGCTAAAAGTGTGTCTACATATCTATTACAGATCTAAAAGTGCAATAAATAAAACTATAATATTGTATTTTCTATATCCTCTCCTTATTATAGTACAGTTTTAATATTTTCAAGATCATATTTTGTAGCTTTAATACATTTTAGCATTGCGTTAATGGACGTTTGTTTTATTTATTTACAGTTTATTTTGTTTATATATTTCAACTTCGCTTAATTTAATTGACTTTTCCTTTTTTTTATTTATCTCACTTAATAGTTATCTGTTTCACATCTACTCTTTTTACTCTGTTAGTTTTGCTTTTAATTAAACTAGTACTATTAAAAGTATTCATAATTGTTATACCACCAAAACACAATTAAAACTGTTTTATATTCTTAAAAAAAACACACACACACACATATGTATATACACTCACCAGACACTTTATTAGGTACCCCATGCTAGTAACGGGTTGGACCCCCTTTTGCCTTCAGAGCTGCCTCAATTCTTGGTGGCATAGATTCAACAAGGTGCTGGAAGCATTCCTCAGGGAGTTTGGTCCATATTGACATGATGGCATCACACAGTTGCCGCAGATTTGTCGGCTGCACATCCATGATGCGAATCTCCCGTTCCACCACATCCCAAAGATGCTCTATTGGATTGAGATCTGGTGACTGTGGAGGCCATTTGAGTACAGTGAACTCATTGTCATGTTCAAGAAACCAGTCTGAGATGATTCCAGCTTTATGACATGGCGCATTATCCTGCTGAAAGTAGCCATCAGAAGTTGGGTACATTGTGGTCATAAAGGGATGGACATGGTCAGCAACAATACTCAGGTAGGCTGTGGCGTTGCAACGATGCTCAATTGGTACCAAGGGGACCAAAGAGTGCCAAGAAAATATTCCCCACACCATGACACCACCACCACCAGCCTGAACCGTTGATACAAGGCAGGATGGATCCATGCTTTCATGTTGTAGACGCCAAATTCTGACCCTACCATCCAAATGTCGCAGCAGAAATCGAGACTCATCAGACCAGGCAACGTTTTTCCAATCTTCTATTGTCCAATTTCGATGAGCTTGGGCAAATTGTAGCCTCAGTTTCCTGTTCTAAGCTGAAAGGAGTGGCACCCGGTGTGGTCTTCTGCTGCTGTAGCCCATCTGCCTCAAAGTTCGACGTACTGTGCGTTCAGAGATGCTCTTCTGCCCACCTTGGTTGGAACGGGTGGTTATTTGAGTCACTGTTGCCCTTCTATCAGCTCGAACCAGTCTGGCCATTCTCCTCTGACCTCTGGCATCAACAAGGCATTTCCGCCCACAGAACTGCCGCTCACTGGATGTTTTTTCTTTTTCGGACCATTCTCTGTAAACCCTAGAGATGGTTGTGTGTGAAAATCCCAGTAGATCAGCAGTTTCTGAAATACTCAGACCAGCCCTTCTGGCACCAACAATCATGCCGCGTTCAAAGTCAATCAAATCACCTTTCTTCCCCATACTGATGCTCAGTTTGAACTGCAGGAGATTGTCTTGACCATGTCTACATGCCTAAATGCACTGAGTTGCCGCCATGTGATTGGCTGCTTAGAAATTAAGTGTTAAAGAGCAGTTGGACAGGTGTACTTAATAAAGTGGCCGGTGAGTGTATATATATATATATATATATATATATATATATATATATATATATATATATATATATATATATATATATATATATATATATATATTTTTTTTTTTTAATGGGTCATATTGTTGTCAAATTATTGTTGTGCATCAAGCAAAGAGAATATCTTTGTAAATTGTTAAAATTATTTAAATTGGGTTCAGAATTGTCCAATGCATTATTAAAGAGTTAAAGGATAGAGGAGAACCTTTGGGGAAGAAAAGTGGTTGAATCAAATCAGAAATTACCGTAGTAAGAACATTTTCATACTTTTAAGGTATTAGGATTAAAAGGGATGTAACCTTTAGAAACCAACTGATCAGTTAGGCTGAATAAAGAAAGTGTCTTCTAAATAAATTCAGGTGGAATGGAAGAGAATTTAGTGGTCTAATGAATCAGTATTTACGGTACCTTCTTCCACAGTGATGGGCATATCAGTGTAGGAAGTGGAGTTGATTAGGTCTTCAGTAACTTTTGGGCCAAAAGAGGTCAGCTTTACTACCAAAATATACTAATGGCCAGATTACTATATTAGTGACGTTCTTCTTCTCCGATGACAGTACCATGATTTTATTTCGCTCATATTGAAAAACACTAATCAGCAGTTTTTAGTTTTGGCCACTACAGAGTTCAGACTGTTGGAATGAGTAGGAGAGGACATGCAGCCTGCCATCATCTTTACAAGATCTTGGTAAAAAATTAATGGAATTGTGGAAGGAAATAAAATTTATGGTTAAATTCTTTTGTCTCAGCCAGTATCTATCTTTGATTCCTTTATAATATTATACAGTATTATGAAGTATTTATCTACAGATTTTGAAAAAATATATTTTTTATAAGAAGTGGAACGGAAATAAAACATGATAAACAGATGAACAACAGACCAGTTTGATGGAGGATGCGTTTTGCTTTACTTCTTCATGTGAAGGTTTGCTCCATGTGAAGTTAATTAGTTGGAATGGGAAGTATAGGGGAACAAAATAAACTGCAGGAGTTTTCTTTAAATGTATTTATTGAATTCCTTTTGTGGGTTGTTGTTGATCTGATATTTTGCATTTTAGATCTAATTAAGAAAAGCAGCACAATTTTCTCTCAACATAGGTCAAACACAAAACTTAACAGTTCAAGTTAGATGAGATTACATGTGTTTGTTTAATTTCAATCCAGGTCAGAGGGTCCGAGGGATGTGCAATAAACTTCCGGAGGCCAAGCCAGAGGTCTCTCCAGCAGCTCCAGCACAAGGTGAGGGTGTTTTTGGATTACAGATAAACTGCTCCTTTTTCTTTGATTTCATCGTTGGGCTTTATGCCCATCCCTGCAGTCCAACCTGATCCACATTTTATCTCTAAAACATTTTGTTCATTTTAGAAGCCCCCCCCCCGCATGGATCTTGTCCATCCAGATTGTTAAATTGTTTGTTTTTAGTCCCAGGAGACTGAAAAGAGAACAGGAAATGGGGCAAACAATTTCTGGGCGATGAAGCAAATCACAGATTCTAGCTAAGGGATATAAATAAAGCTGATACCCCCCCCCCCCCCCCCCCGCTTTCCTCTCCACAGAATCCAGACCCTTATTCAAAACCCCCGGCTACAGACCCTCCAACATGGACAGGAAGATTTTACTGTGGGCAGGTCGCTTCAAGACTGAGGACCAGATCCCAGAAACTGTGTCGTAAGTAGCCCTTTCCTGTTTATCGCAGACCCCCCTCTCCCTGTCCCTTTAACACGGTGCACGGCTCTCCGATTGCCTCCACATCACAAGAACAGAGCTGACTAAGTGGATGAGCGGCGGTGGAGTGTGCGGCTGGCCCCTCTGAGATGTCCTTAGTTCAAACACAGCGTCTGTTTGTGCTCTGAGGTAATTAAGGTGGCTCCTGACATCAGGGTGGAGATTGCATCTGATCTGCTTCTGTGATTAGAAAAAGATCTGCTTGTCATGCTTATGAGGTAAATTCAGGCCGCCTGTATGTGAAGACGTGGAGCTTAGTGTCCAAAATAAACCAAAACACATCAGCCGCTCAGGAGAGTGTTGAAAGATTTCATTGTGTTCATTATAAATATTATTATATAATGTAAAGATTAGAAATAGAATCCCAAAGATTGATTCCTTTATGGGTATAACATAAAAGGATCACATGTCAATGTTCAAACAGGAGGAGAAAGTTTCACCTTCTTTATTGTTTTTGGACTTACTCTTAACCAGAATAAGCGTTTTAATGATAAATATCATCTTCTCCACAGCTTTGAGATGATCGACAATGCCAGAAACAAAATCAGAGTGAAAGCTGCCTATCTGATGATGGCGTTGACAATAGGAGCCTGTGTGCTGATGGTGATTATGGGTAAAAAGGTGAGTGACAAAGCAGAAATACATCGAAAGCAAGTACAGCTCAGATCCGGTAGCATTCACCTGTAGGATTGCAGCGATGCATAAAGGCAGGAATCTTTTTCATGTCTGTGCAGGCTTCTTTTGCTGAGTCACCCTGAGTAAGCCAGTAGTAAAATAGTCAAGTGTCCTTGTTGTGACTGGCGCTTTATACTATAAGCCTGATTTCAGTACCTTTTTGGGTTTCTAAAGCTAAATTGTTCTTTTTTTCTGGCAGGAAAAATTAACAATTCAGGTCTTCATTTTACATTTTCCTTTCCAACATGCTTTGCTAATAAAAAGCTGAAAAGATTCATGGATTGATCCTTTGACTTATCTCCAAACCACTTAGCTTCAATTTCATCGTCTAGTCGACGAAGTGGGTTATGAACCTAATAATATGGCTGTGTCCAAACGTCCGCCCTAACCCCAAGATCCGTCCATCACTATATAGAGCGGGTACTATATAGTGGACTTTATAGCAAACTCCGTTAACTTACCGTTCGGACAGATTATCACTGCTTTTTGCTCCCCATTGGTCACATAACTCCGCCTCCACCGCACGGTGCCTGCGCCACCTTTGTTATTCGTCGCCGCTGTCCGGTAGCAACAGCGGGCCGCTGTGACAACAAATCCCATAATGCTTTGCCAGAAGGACTCTCGCAAAGCATTCCAGTATATATCTGATTGTCTAGTGAACATAGATTGTCACTACTTTTGAAGGTGCATTGTGGGAAATTTTGAGTCCACTACTTTTTCATCCACTAGAGCTAATTAAAAATCATCAACCAGTAAAGGTCCAGAGACATTTTTAATTGTAATCTGTTAGTTTAAACAGAAATTGAACACTGAAATAGATTGAGGTGTTTATGCATCCATGTTAAAAAAAAATAGAACATGTGTCCATTTTAAAATCTAAAGTGTTTTTTGAAGTAGAGAACAACAGTCGTTCAGTTTGGTATATAGATAGTTTCCGGATTTACATATTTTGTTTGTTTGTACCTAAAACTCTCCAAATCCCTGAGGTGTCAAAGGAATTAATGGTAATTACTCAAGTAAAAATCCTATAATTTTGTAGAAGTTAGAGTATTAACTGAAGCTTTTTACTCAATTAAAAGTCTAAAAGTAAAAGTTAGGATGGATGCTTTAAACCTCCTACTGGTTACTGCTCTACCTCACTAAAAGGAACATTTTTCTACAATTCTTTATGATAACTTCCTTAGACTTTTCCTGGTTTTATATTTAATATAATTTATATTTTATATTTAAATTCAACTTTGCATCATTTTGAATATTTTTTTATTTTGGTATGTGGTGAACAACAATTTGGTTCAGCACAAATAAAGTAATTTTTCTGGATAAAGAAATTTATTTTGATGGTTTTTACTTTTTTTTTTAAATACCAACAGGCCATAACGAAAAAGAGTGTAAACGAAACAAAACTTAACAAGTCTATTTTAAAGATGTGAGGAGTAGAAACTAGAGATAATTGCAAAAAAATGTAAGGAATAGAAGTAAAAAGTTGTCTAAAAAAAGAATTACTCCAGTAAAGTATAGATACTTTTACTTGACACCTCTGCCAATAGACGGAAAGACATTCGTTAGGATAATGCAAAACGATCCACAATCAACCAGAACTTGAACCCAGCAAAAACCCAAAGACAAGGACATGATTGGATGTCTTACAGACCCGCAGCAACAGATGACAAGGAATCCCAAATTCTCACTGGAAACTTCACTCTGGGTTTAATCAGCATGGATTCTCTACTTCTCTGTTCTCCCCCAGATATTAGCACCTTTATTCCCAAATGAAGACAAACTTTACTCCATTTGAAAAGATTACTTTGATCCACCGATCAACAATCCACTCTGTTTCAGGAAGAGTTTGACATGAGAAATGCTGCATTTGTGGCCCATGTGTAGGATTCCTCTGTGTGTGATGCCTTTTTAATGTTCTGACTCCAACCTCAGTCCACTGCTCCTTCAATAATCTGTGATTTAGTTTGATAAATCTGTGAAGAACGTGGGCATCTTTTGCAGTGGTGTCAAAAGTACACACATTTGTTACTTAAGTAGAAGTAAAGCTACTGCAGTTTAAAAACACTCTGGTAAAAGTTGAAGAATCAACTTGGCCTCTTTACTCAAGTAAAAGTGAAAAACCATGTGCTCCAAAAACTACTTAAAGTATAAAAGTATAAAGTAACCTTAAAAACAAACAGCCAGATGCCACTTTATGAATTGAAAGCTATTTTTTTTCGACTATTTTTGAAAAATTCTTTGAGTTGGGGCCAAGGATAAGGGAGGTCTTGTTGGTCTCCCTCTTCATCTCCCCATACGCTCTCGCCTGTGTCCATCCTTTCAGACATTTCGACATCTTTTTCTGGATCCGACATTGTGGCATGGCAGAGACAATTCACATTTGCAGTTTGAAGAACACCTGCTTGCTTCTGATGATTTCCTTTAGCTAACCCAGGCTTTCCCAAACTCGGTCCTCAAGGCCCCCTGTCCTGCAGGTTTTAGAAGTTTCTCTTCTTCTTCTTTTCTATTATGGCGGATCACAAGCAACTTTAAGGTGCATACCGCCACCTACTGTACATGAGTGTCAAATAGAGGTTTCTCTGCTTCAGCACAGCTGGTTATAATGATTGCAGTAGACCAAAAGCCTGTTAATCAGCTTTCAATTAAAATCAGCTGTGCTGGAGCAAAGAAACCTCTAAAACCTGCAGGACAGGGGACCTTGAGGACCGAGTTTGGGGATGCCTGATTAACCAATGAGTGTTTGGGTTATATGACTCATCCAATTACACTAGTTTTCACTAGATGTGGATGGCAGCAATGAGCTGCTTCGGATGGAGCACATGACGTGAAATAAATATATATAAACATTAAACCGAAGCCAAGAGTAACGAGTAACGTTTGTTTTAAAAATGTAAGGAATAGAAAGTACAGATACTTGTGTGAAAATGTAATTAATAGAAGTAGGAAGAAAAATAAGTAATGGAGTAAAGTAGAGATACCTAAAAAGTGTACTTAAGTACACTAACGAAGTATTTGTACTTTACTTGACACCTCTGTATTTTGTTGGTGCACCGTTTACACTTTTTCCTTCCACTCAATTATCAATTGGTTTGCATGGATGCAGCACTTTGTGAGGAATCAGCTTCTTGGGTAGTGACTTTTTTGGTGGCCTATCGATAATGTGTAGGTTCTTCTGGACCTGTCAGCTGTCATTTCCATGATTGTGCATCTCACAATAGGCATACATAGGCAAACATACTCATAATTGATTGATTGTGGGTTATTTGTAGGCAATTATAGAAAAATCAAATGAAATAAAGGCTTGAAAATGTTTACTCTCTTTATTTGCAAGGAATCCATTCAGTGTTTTTCTAAATGCATAAAAAATATTTGTATGATTTTCTGATCTTTTGAGATTTACTTATAGATTTAGCACCAGGTGGATTTAACCACAAAACTTTTCACCCAGGCTGCTTTTTTTTTTAAATAAAGTTATGTGTAATAATTTCCCACTCTAAATTATTGAAAGGCAGGCATTGCAGGGAGTGGAGAACCTTCTGCCTGGAAGTGTAAATGATTATTCCTGTTTTTGTTTCCTTCATATAAACCAGTTTTACCAAGATTCCATCTTGTTTTTGCAGGCTGCAGGTCGAAACGAGTCTCTGACTGTATACAACTTGGAAAAGAAAGCCAAATGGAGGGAGGAACTCGAGAAAGAAAAGACTCAGTGATGGACATCAGTAGTCATGATGCAGTTGCAACCAGAAAACTATAAAATAAAGGAAACAGACTTGTCTTTTGTTTTCAGTCTGATATTAAATAAAATATTTTCCCATTTTAAAACAGTTAAATTTGCCTCAATTTTGGCAACATTATTTTAATCAAGTACTGCCTAAATTAGAGTTTTTTGGTGAAATGTACTTTCCTTAACGTCTACATTTGATGTATCATTTTAGCAGCTAAGATACTTAAGCTCCAAGACATTTTTCTCCGAATGTAACTGGTTATTCGCACACACAAAAAAAAACTTGAATGTCTTCGTCTGAGTACTTTCAAATTCTTATCTGGCCCATTTCAACACTGGACTTGCTTCACTGTAGCTAATGACACTGCTAGCAGCTTTGGTCAGCATCTTCAACAGGATATGCATATTAAACACCAAGCAGTCGCCTAATTGCTGCAGCTGGACATTCCCACTCTGATTAAACACCTTGAAATTACAGCCAAGGATTAGCCAGATTCTTGGAGATCTTCAGTTCTTAGTTCCTTCAGGTTGAGGGCTGACCTAAAGTACATCCACAGCTGTGCCTCCATTAAGCTAATTTCATAATCTGGCTCTAGTAAACAAATAATTATGATGCAGCATCAGTTAGCAAAACTGCCAAAATCTTTTTCAAGTTTAGGTCTTTTTGCAGTGAATGTTAATGCCTGGTTTAGACTGCTTTTCCACCTAACTTATGTCTGGAACAGAGCACTCGTTCTTTGTAGGATTACAATCCATTACGTTATCAGTGGAAACATGAACTTGGTGAACCCCTACCCCCGGGACATCTCCAATTTAGAAATCCAAACAAAATTAAGGAGGGACAGTTTTCCTTGTTGCTGTAGATCATGAAAACCTGTCGTAGTACCAACCCGAGAGCTCTTCTTTTCTGATTGGATGAGTGCTTAATCTGTTTCCTCTTGTAAAACATGTCTGTGTTTAGTTTTAAAAATAATCAAGTGGATCCAGTGTAAATGGGTTCCTTATCCTGTTCATATATGGATATAATAAAGTTTTCCGATGGCTGTTGTGGCATTTTGTTGTAGAAACAAGAACAAAAAATAAATGTAATAAAGTAATATATCTTTGGATATGTCCTGCTACTGAATGAACTTACCTGAGAGGTTGTCAGTTTCTCAAGAGTTTAAAAGGGAATCTCTGTTTCAGATCATTTGAAAAACAGTGACATGATAGAACATCAGCGTCTGTTAACAATACCAAACAGGGATTTCCAGGGAAAATACAGAACAAATAAAGCTCGGTAGAAGACAATGAAAACTAATCCACTCGCCGTTAAGATTCTGAAATGGCTTTTATGCAAATGGAAGAACAGAACAGATGCACAAACTCAGTACAACAAACAGTAATGAACACAAAGAGCTGGTCATCTCTTGCAGAGATTGTTTTGACAAAATTAAACAACGTGAGGAGACTACTTGGTAAACAAACATTCAGTTGTGCTAACTACTATGATCACCAGGATTTTCAAGTTTAATCTGGATTTTTTTCTGCTTGAAATCATCTGGAAGGATTTCCATATATTAGGGATTATGGCACCATCAACTAAAGATGCTAACTCCCAATTTCTAAGAAATAAGAGACCGACCTAAATACCTCAAGATGTTACAATCCTTGATTTGGCGTGATCAAACAGGAAACATTTACCTCGATATATGTTAGCCTGCTCACAGGTTAAAACAGCCAATTCACCAAATGAGGAGTTGTTTTAGATTTGCTGATTTTGACATGAGTTTTCTGACAGTTTCAGTCCACAATCTGCTTGAGATCCCCTTATTAAGAAGGGTAAAACAGTGTAATCAGTCGGATCAGGCCTGGCCTCTTTATATCTGGCTTCCTGAGGAGGGAAGAGCCATATCATCAACCAACTTAAATAGGAAACATAACTACCGTCGATGAACAGGCATCAGTCCAGAACTAAAGTGCTGCAAATGAAAAGAAAAAGATGTTTTAATAAATGAACACAAAAAAATATATATATAAAATCCCGCTGGCCTGCTGCTGGACAGAATCCAAGATTAAACAGTCCGTTTTGTTTCGTCGAATTGTCTCAGTGCGAGGGAAGATTCGGATTCCCATGGTTCCATGGGGCTTAAATCCGGTCACGACAGAGGCGGCAGTTTCAACTCTAAAAAGGTGGAGCCAGTGCATGTGGAGAAGTCCCAATACTGGTAGGAAGGAATGATATGAGATCAGGGTGGGAATGTAAGCAATCCACCGCATAGAGATAAAGTCAACTTTCTAGTCTATATGTGGTTTCTGAGACACGCAGAGTGAACAAACCCATCCTTCTTTAAATTAAGTGCCTTTCTTAGCGGTCGGTCCACGTGACGAACACAAACATGGGGTCCATGTCTCGAAGGTCAGTCCAGTGTTTAGGTTGCAGTCTATTTGCTTAGGAGGGAATATTCAGAGGGGGGTGTAGGACCGGATCAAGTTGTCCATCTTCCAAGTCATTAATGCTTCAGGCAAGCAGGACAGTCCCAATTCTCCCAATGGCTGAGAGAGTGCTTGCCAATCCTATGGTAACAAGGAGGATGACATTTTTCTTTGTGATGAGGAGTGGAGGAAAACCCAAAGCCAGCTGAAGCTCTGGTCAGGAGATTAAGAAGTCAACAACAATGGAGAAAAAAAAGTAAACCTTTATAAACTGGCTGACGCATTTTGGAAACTGACCCATGTTGGTTGCATGTGTGCTTCTGTAACGTTACAGAGTAGTAAAATGATCGAGATAATGATTCAGTCCATCTCTCTGGGAAACGGGGGGAGGGGGGCTGCTTGTTACCCTGGATCTGGCTGTGGGCAGAGACTGAGAGACGTGAGCAAAGGTGAAATGAAGCTGCAGCTTGGGAGAATTTATTTAGCATTATAGCTGGAAGCCTTCCATCGGAGCCTCGCATTGCTGGAAGAGGAACTGCCCCTGCTGCAAGTCAACGGCTGGAGCCAGCGATGGGTCCTCATCTTCGGTGCTGAAGTAGCGCTCGATCAGATCGAAGGCTTTCTGGTAGATTTCCTGGTTCTCGTGGCCCTGCAGGAACTCCAGTTTGTCCAGACCTGAGAGGAAACGGAAGGAGAGGAAGCTGAAGATGCTTGTACTTATTTTACCACAGCAGCATCAGGGCTTCTGCACTTTTTTTTTTATTTTTTATTATTCAGTTCAGATCCATTTAAACATCAGTTCATGAATGTATTGGAAACTTAAAGGGAAGGCACCGAGAAGGAATGTTAGATGATCGAAAGCATAGAAGAGCTAATGGAGGTGTCTATGGATGGATAGATTTACACAGGATGGACATAGTTGTTAGCTGGACAGATTAAGATCTTGCTATTGAACTGAAAGCAAGACAGATGGACAGATAGATTAATGTATACTGTTAAGATTTAAATACAAAAAATAATCTTTTGATTGGATGATAAATTCAGATATGCGTTATTTTGCAAATTAGACACCAAATATATTATTACCCCTGTCAACAAAACCCCAGAGAATGTCTCAAATTCTACATAAGAAAATATACTACCTATTACCTGCTGCTACTTCAAAAGACAGAAATCTGTACTTTTTAAAGATATGAGTGGATGGATGGACTAACCATAGGCCTCTTCAATGAGAGCGCAGTAAGGGTTTATGCCGCCTCCTCTTTTGGCCTCCAGCTCTCCCAGTCGCAGGATGTTTTCTAGACCATTTAGAGCCACTTGGACTATTTTGGAATCCATCAATGTGAGCAAATCGCACAGAGGTTTTATACAGCCAAGTTCCACAAGATGCCTGCAGGGGGAGGTAGAGGAACATGATAAAGACTTACTACAACCAATATACAGTTATCTTTATTTTATCTTTAGACTAGCAAGGTGTTATAAGTTAACAAAAGGAGTAGCTTTAATCATAAATCAGGTCTTAAATAAAGGGAATCAGTCTAAATCTCAACTATAAGAATCTTCTAGACATGTTATTAAGTTAATGCTTTTAAAAAAAGTCTCACATTTATGTTTCAAGGCTACAAATAAAACAAAAAAAACAAACTTCATTTTCACCTAATCTGCTCTCCAGAGCCCCCAGAGGTGGCATTGGTAATGGCCCATGCTGCCTCCTTTCTTGTGCGAAACTCTGCTACCTGCAGAATACTGATGAGAGGTGGCATCAGGTCTGCATCTATCACCATCTGTGAACAGGGGAAATAAAAAAAAAGGTCTTCTGAGAGTGCAAAACGATTAAAGTTGCATAAAAAAAATACAAACATGTAAACACACCTGAATTTGTGGTCGATTTCCGGCAGTAATGTTGGAAATCGTCCAACAAGCTTCCTTCTTAATAGACTCCTTAGGGCTGCTCAGAAGGTGAAGTAAAGACTGCAGTGCTGAACAGTTCAGAATCACCTGAAAAACGATTTAAATCACACACACACTGTCAGATCACCAACATTTCTCATGCACACACATTGATACGGAGTTGGAGTAGATGCTGCCATTACTTGCGTCTGCAGATCATCTCCAGTGACTATGTTTCCAACGGCTCTCAGTGCAGGAGATACCACCTTATAATCAGAGTGCCTAAATGGAAGCAGAATTGCAGCCAGTCAATTCACAGAAATTAAAAGATATCTTTCTAATCAATTTCAGTAATTCAGTACAGATTAGTGTGTGGCTTCAGTTTGATAGTGCCATACAACACGTTTGCATTATTTAATCATTGTTACCATCTTGCTTTCAAGAATACTCCAGGTTTCTGCATGAAGTTCAATTCCAGAGTTTTCTGGCCAATGAGTGGTAGGGAAGCGGCTGTTCCAAACGTTGCAGTTCTGAATTCTCCCGAGTGGTGCACGACTTTACACGAGTGAATAAAGTGAATTTGATTGGTCGTTTCTCAAGAGGGCGGGATTGTTGTGGCAGAAGGTTCACAAGCAAGTTTAATTGTGGCCGGTTTCTTGGAAGCATCGTTGCTAACCAGTTAGCAACTCAGTGCTAGTAGGTTCCCAATGGGAAATTACATTGAGATCAGGAAGCACTAAATAGGTGACTTAGCAACGACACTGTCAAGGAACGCTATGGACAGCGGAAACATGCAAGAGGTGGAGAGTTTTGTGTCGGAGGTCATGGAGTCTCCTCCGTCCCCTTTCAATGGAGCCCTCACAGAGCCCACTTTTACAAAGTGCAAAGTTCTGCTGGAAAAAGCATTTTATGAAGCATTAAATTCTCTGAAACATCCTGGTGGAATGAAGGTCTGACTTTGTACTTTGAGAAGACGCAAGGGACCAGCAACTGGGAATGGCTCCCTAAATCAGCCCTACAGAGGTAACTAAATTGTATTGCAATGCCTATTACATCTCTTCTGGCTTAATGTTGTTCACGTTCAAACTTCTGTCTGAACACCTGATTCTGCCATTTTGTTGTGGACTAAATGTTGGACCTTAAGCATCTTAAATTTTGCCTCTTAATCTTTCTTGTTTTTTTATAAATCTCTGTTCTTTGTTTGCAGAACTTAAGAACAGAGAGACACCGCTTCTTTCTGATTCGAAGATGTTTTCTTCATCACACTGGCCTCACCGTGGTTCACTTTACGGACCATTGAACTGGTGAGTCTGAGTAACAACAGGAGACTATGCACTGGGATGGTTTCACTTTATCTGTTTTCTGTACTCTGGAACTCCTACCCTGTATAAGAGAACTGTTTAATCAAATGTTTTAATGATTGTGTATCTCCAAATCTTCTCTTGCTATATTTGCACAAATTTTCTGCCATGTGTTTCCAGACTAACCTATATAGGGGAGAGCCTTCATGCTGTTGCGTGCTGGGGCAGCAGACTATAGGTGAAGGACGGCAACAGATTTAAACTCATGCGAAAGGCCAGTCACATTGTTGGAGAGGAGCTGAACTCTCTGACAAGTGTCAGAGAGGAGAATGTTGGCCAGGATAAAATCCATGCTGGACAATTCTGCACATCCTCTTTATGATGTGTAAGTCACTCACAGATGTACCTTCAGTCAGAGACTCATTTCACCACACTGCACAACAGACCGCCACAGGAAGTCATTCCCGCCTGTGGCCATCAAACTGTATAATTCATCT